TTGGATGAAGCAGGAAACTGACAACTTTGCCCTTTGACCCCTTGTCCCCTCCTCACAGCAGCAGAGTGGATCCTCGCCATGCAGATCCAGCTCAGATCCGTCCATGAAACTCTCTTGCCATGATCTCTGAATAAAACATTAATATTCTGTAGCTCCTTCAGGCAGTGAAGTTTATAAGACTACGAAGGTTTTGTTGTGTTGCTGCTCAGTCAGACAGTCGAGGTCTGACTGAGAAAGACCGCCTGCTGCTTTTACTTACCGGAGAGTTAATGAGGTCCAATACGGCCTCATTAGTCCTGATGGACCTCTGAGAAAAGGGTCAACTTGACTGAATCAAGACGGTGAAGAGGTTTTTGTAGGTCTGGAGGGATAATTAAAGTTATTCAGAGCAGACAGCTTCGCCATGTGTGGGCTGAAACCGGGTGGTTGGTTGGCGTTTCTGGTGACTGTGTGTTTTTGGAAAGCAGCTGGTGCAGATGTTGAAGGTTTCCATGTGGGGGTTTTCTTAATGTCCCTGGTTATCTCATTAGCTGAGCTTCCATAAAGTACCGAATTATTAAAAAAAACAAAATTCAAATTAGTTTCCTCATTTTGCAAAATAAAAAAAGAGGTAATTTGTAGCTACTTGTTCATTTTAGGCAATAAAATGTTTATTTTCTTGTTTAAAAAGGAATTACATTATTTTAATGTATTTCTAGACAGGCTCAAGTGGTTAATCAATTTTTAAAAATCTGATTAATCAATTAATCATCAGAATAATCAATAGAATGATTGTTTACTAAGAATCATTTGTTGCAGCTCTAATGTTAGTCTTTACTGGCTTTCTGCTCACCAGTGGCAGCTGAATAAGGCTTCACGTTTTTAGTAGAGCTGGATGATATGGCTGAAAAACGCATCACGATATCAACAATAAATGGTTATTGATTAGTTTTTTGTTTTAAATATATGAAATGCTGCCAAACTGGTGATGGGACCTTCCTTATTTTATCCAGTTTTCTCTCTATGCTGCTGTTTTTTATTTTTAATCAGTTATGAGGCACAATAGGGAAACCTTAAACTGGTACTGCACAAGTTACTCAGCATGTTGTTGCTAGGTAACCAGAGAATGGGTGAGTTGCTAGGCAACCAAAGAGCGAGTGAGTTAGTTGACTCCACTAACATTTCTTAGCTAGCCTTGAGAGGTTGAGCAGATAGTCTTTCCTCTTCCTACAAACGATTGAACATTTTTCAGACGTATTACCTGTCGATATTGATCACCTGTCTTATCACGATGTATATTGTTGATTTATTGTCCATATTAATTTGATTTCATTGTTTGAAAGGGTGGAAAACTCTCTGCATTGTGTCCTGGTACATGGACATATTTGCACCTACACTTTGGGGTTAATGACGTCACATCACAATAAGCTAAACTGTATCATTTTCTCTCAGGCCCTGTTTGCTGAGCCTTGCTGGATTTGAAGAAAATATGCTTCAGAAATAGCATCACTGCTACACTGTAGTTCAAAAGGCCTTGTTTCCAACTGCAGAGGAGGTACATGACTCCAGATTAAAGTCAGTCCTCCCCTTTTTCCACAAGAGGAGTTAAAATTCTTCGAGACCAGCTCTTGAGTTTTCACGCTTCGCCGTCACCATCCTCCTCCTCGAGCCACTGCCTCTCAAACCGCCCTGTGAAAGAAAACACAGGAAGGAGAGCAAACAGGGCTGTTTATTTGCTGCTTAATTGGACCTCTTTTAATTGCTGTTTATCTTCCCGAGGTCCATTTTCCTATAACGGAAATATAATCGCTGTTTGCTCTTACGCAACGTTGAATTCCACGAGGGGCAGAGATGGGCAGAGCGAGGACAGAGGAGGGGATTGTTGTGCCTTTTGGACTGAATTCAGCTCTTGATTGTGGGTTTTTTCTGAGAGCTATGCGCTTCTGCAGCGTGTATTTGTGGCTGCAGCTCATCACACACAGCAGCCAACTGCTGATTACGCAGCACTTGTTTTGTCCGCTCTCCTTTTGTCAGCGACGCTGAATCAGTCCAACGTTTACCAAACCTGGAAAAGCAGAAAACAGTTTGTCCTTGATCATTCCTGCGATGTCTCTCTAAGGGTTTGAAATTTGTTTTGATGATCTGATAGCATCGAGATCAAATGTCTTCCAAACCACTTCCTGTTGTCTTGGGATTCAGAACCGCTTCCCTTTAAAAGTTAATTAGAGACTCAGGAGAAGGTCGAGTGTTTGGCTGCCGTGACTTATTGTGCCAGTTAGAAGCTGATGCCAGCACATCAGTCTTCTAAAAGCTGATTAGAAATGTCTTTTCTCCTTAAAGAGGATTGAAGAACCAGAAACCTTGATACTCATCCTGATTCCTCTCTCATGCAGAGTTCAGTAAACAATGGCAGGGGAGTAATAACAGATTTCCTCCCCTGTTCAAAGGTTAAGATGGTGAGTCGGACAGGATGGAGCAAACAGCTGAGGGTTGTCAGAGTCACGTATTATTTGGTAAACCAAGACTTTTTCTGGGCGATTTGACAGTAATAAATTAAACATCACATGTGGGGTTCCACAAGGCTCCATACTCGGGTCACATTTGTTCAAAATTAATATGATCTCAGTGGCTCAGACTATGGAGTACTAAAACATTTTAGATTTATATTTAAAAATATGCATTATATAATCTTTTATGTTGGTCTAAAAGGCATTGAATGCTCTTTCTTTTAAAAAATTGCTGTTTATTTTTAACTGCATCGTTTATTTATCTTTTTTTATGATTTTTTTTTCAGTTTGATTTTTGACTGTTAAAAATGTCTTCTGAGGGGATTTAAAAGCTCTAAGAATGGTTGTAAATGGCATAATGAGAAACATTGTTGTGAAGGTGGAGTGTCAGAAAAAGCAGGAGCTTCTTAAAGAGACAGGCACATTACATTTCAAGGCATTACATTGCAAAGTTAAATTTCTTTTAAGTTGCATTTAACTTATTTGCTTGATTTTACAGCGACTGAATGAAAGTCCCATGATTGTTGATTGTGCTATATCAACAATCATGGGACTATATGCCTGGAAATTTTAAAATATTTGGTCTAAAAGACACTGTACTGTCTATTTAAATATTGCTGTTTATTTGTTTTAAGTATTTATGTGATTTATCATTTTGTCTTTTTTCATCATGTTTTAATGTTTTTCACAACCAGTTTGTAAACGGCATAATGAGAAACATTGTTGTGCTGAAGGTGGAGTGTCTGAAAGAGCAGGAGATTCTTAAAGAGACAGGCGCCCAATTTCAATGTTAATTTTAATTGCGAAGTGAATTGTTTAAAGTTATTTACAGCACTTTTACAACTGAAGGTAACATAGTTATTTGATTATGCTAAACATTGTGTTGTGAGATCAACATTCTTCTACGCTTGCGGGTCGCTTTGGGGTTGAACAGTTCACACTGACGTCTGATCCCAATCTCAATGTTACAAAAAAAAATGGAACTGAGAATCAATTTTTTTAGCTTTCAGTGTTTATTTATTTAAATTCCTTTTATTTTTCCTTTACTTTGTGCATAAAACGTGATATTTTTGTTTAGCTAGCATGGTAGAATCCCTCAGCCTTGTTGTTTACCTTTAAGGATAACGGATGCGTCCTTCATGGGGAGACTTTGGTCCCAGGAGAGGCGAACCAGCAGAGCTCTGCCCCAAATACGAATGTCCTGTTTTATGAAACGGTACAAACTGCTGCCATGTTTCCAGCTCTGTGAGCTGAAACCGAGCAGAAATGAGATCTAGAGAGTTTTGAACACACTATCCAAGCAGACTTTCATGTCAACTTGGCAAGATATTCGTGTTTCTTTCCATTTGTGTCCTGTCTGAGCAGCTCTGCTCTCTCAGCACTGCAGCATTGAGCTGCTCCATCATGCAACCGATGAGCTGAATCTGCTTCATCAGGCCTGACTTCTCGGCACAAAACGCTGCTGCTTTTGGACAGAAAGCGGATAATTACTCAAATATGTTTGCATAAGGGATGCAAGTTATCAATTAACGAGTTAATCTAAAGCTGATCTTATCTATCCACGAACATAAAAACCAGTTACTCTTGTATGAAAAGGACCAACTGTCTTTTTATTATATAAAGGGCTAAATTTCTCATAATATGCCAAATAAAAAATAAATTATTTTTGTGTCAGCTAGTACTAATTACCTGAATAAGCAGAAAATTGTGGCTTAGTCATATTATGAAACCTATAAAATATAGCAAAACAGCAGCATCTCTGGTGGTTGAATAGAACAATAAAATGTTATTAAATAATAAAATATATGAAACGGTGAATCCCCAGTGAACAGAGATGTTTTTAAATGATTAGTCTGTGGTTGCTCTTGAAGAAATGTTAAAACTTCCCTCCACGAAGAGCATTAACACTCAAAATGCGTTATAATTTATTTCTGTTATGACTCTGCCTTTCTGTCGGGACATCGTCGCCTTTAGCGCGTCATTAATTTTTGGTTGAGAAGTGAGACGCTATTTCGTCATTCGGCTCGGTTGCATGAACACTATTAAAGGTGATAACTTAAGGAGCTTGTCGAGTGTTTATATTACAAAACAGAACCGCTTAAAGTGCCTTTTCCATCCCAAACCGGACTCTGTTTGGACCGTTGCTATTTGTTATGCTATCGCCCCGCCGCCATCTTTGATTCTGTCTGAATGGCTTCCTTAAAGATGACCAGCGTTGCCCTCTGCTGGATGGTGGCCAAACTACAACATTAAAAGCCGGATTAAAACGGACGTTACTAGTTAATTGATTGAAACTATTTTTGTATAATAAACTATTAATTGACAATAACAACATTCGAAGCGTTTATTTTGTTTATAATGACACTTTCTTCCTCTCTCTGCAGGCTCTTGCTGCCAACGCGGGAACAGGGATCGGTGCGGTGGAGCCACAGGTGGCCATGTTCTGTGGGAAACTCAACATGCACGTCAACATTCAGACCGGCCGCTGGGAGCCCGACCCGTCAGGAACCAAAAGCTGCGTAGGAACCAAAGAGGGTGTGCTGCAGTACTGTCAGGAGGTGAGTCACAGCGACACAGACGCCTCATGTCAGACTTGTGTTGACATGAGGCGTCTGTCCTCATGTCAACACAAATAAAGGAAGTGACAAAGCAGATTACCATCGTTAGCTTAAATTATTATATGATTTTATTAGGACGTGAAGGAGGGTTTATTTGTGTTTGGTCATTATAGTTACTTGTGCATCTAAATACAGTACAATATCATTAAAAAGTTAAATTATTTCAGTAATTCCTCTAAAACTAAATCTGATTTTGCTTTTGTGGATACAGAGATGACACAAACCCAATATTTATACATTTTAACTTATTGAAACCTAATGAACTGACAGTATTCAAAACAGATTTGTGAAAAGAGAAAGCAAATATTACTTAAAACTAACAGATTTTTACAAATTTAGATTTGGAACCACAATGATGCATTTCAATTCAAGATGTCTGTTTATGGAACAATTTTGACTGAGAAAAAACAACCCAAATCTCTTTCAGTATTTAAAATAAATCATTATGATGAAGCAATATGGCACTGAATAAGATGATGTTTTGTTGTGTATTTGAAATATATCTGTGATAGTCTTTTGAGTTGAATAAGCTAATTTCCTCTTTATGTGGATAGTGGGCAGATATAAATGTATACTTGTTACATTAACTATTCATATTTATTCAGTGAATTAAATTTAAAAATTAAATTGGGATAGAGATTTATTTCTCACAGGGTGGTATCCTGGAAATATTCCATTAATAATTTTTTTTAGGGTTTTATGCTGCATTCGGTGCTCGGTTAGGACTCATTTTGCATGACTGTCTCAATACCGTACAGCCTGGAGGTGAACAGCCTGAGGCTCTACTTAGGTGCCAGTTTGCCTTAACAGCAGCCTTGGGCTCTTCTTCATCAATACCCCTCGTCTTCCTCTTGACGATACAAATCTACAAGTTTTAGACCTCTTACTAGAAAGTTAGTAGTGCTAATCCTAAAACATTAATCATAAACATTAGTTCCACTGATGGTAAAGTGCTATGCTAACATGGTATTTAGCAGAAGCTAATGCTAAAGCACTAACTTCAATACAAATATCTCCCCTTGAAAAACACTTAACAAATTTAATTTAGTATGTTCTAATGTCTGAAATGAAGTTAATGAGGAAAAATAGAGAAAACATGAGGAGAGGAAACGGAACTGCTGGCTTCACCCACTTCAAAATAAGAGCGTAATAATTATTAACTACTTGAATAATTCTTAACAGTGATGACCAAAACTTCAGCACAGATGTTTTATTTATTCAACTAAAACTTTACAAAACGGCCAAGTAAGTTAGAATTTATCCTGAAAAATGCATTTAGGGGAAGCTAAGCGCGCTAAATGTTTTCAAAGTTAGCTTAATCGCTACACGAAAAATTGTCTCCAGTATTAGCGGAAGCATTCCCACCGCAGGTCATGTAGGTTTTTATTCTGAGTCGCTCCACTTTTCCCCAAAAGTCTTGGGTCTTGATTTCCACATTTTAAGTTTACTTTCATATGTAAGTGGTTGTTTGAAACAAAACAAAGTCAAACTTAAAGTCTGGACGTGTTAAAAGAAAAAAAAAAAGCACATGACATCTATGTGCATAAAGCTTCTCTTTAGTTGTGTCGCAGATGAAAGTTACATTAAAAATTCGTTTAAAGTCCAGAATAAAGTAAATAGAAATACATTTTACATCTATTTCCAGTTGGTTGAAGGCACTTTGGTTCAGGATCTGGATTAGCTGGAAAGATTGAATACATTCCTTTTTATTTCAGGGTGATTTGTCCTCAGAGACGCCATTAAGCTCTTCCTGGAGGACGGATGTTATTGTAGTGGGTGGCATTTCAATTACCGGAGCCTCTACCTGTCATTTCCTGGGCTTTGCCTGAAATTAAGGAGGTGTTTCTCCACAACACGGATTTCCTCATTCTTGTCTTGGCCTGTGACTGTTAGCAGCGCATTGTAATCCTGCTGGGAGGTTTTTAGGGAGGAACCGTCCTCAGATGCTTCAGTTGCATTTTATAAATGACATTTTCATGGCATTTAAGGAAAGTGCAAACCTGTGCGCTCTTTAACAGTTGAACAGAAGCCAAGCTGGTGGATATAAAGCCCAGATAAAAGGATCTATTAAAGGGGATGAATTATGCTAAGGGTGTCCAAACTTTTTTGAAAAAACTAGAAGGATAAAAAATATATAAAATTAGACAAATAGTCGTTAGATTTTGTAGGAAACTGATGTTGGATCCAAATCATTGAACAGATTTTTCACGTTTGCTGTATTAAAAGAAAAGCATCTAACTTTCAAGTCTTTTTTGGGCTTTATTAAAAAAATCTCTCTTCTGAAGACAGAATTTGGGTCTTTTTCTTCCGAAATGTCCAATATATTTAGCCAAGTTTAATACATTAAATAAAAGCTGATTTAGGTGCAGTAAAGTTGGATTTTCAGAAAAAGTCTCTGGATATTCTACTTACCATAAAATCTTGGTTATGTACTTAATATTTTTTATTATAGGAAAATTACATTGGTGATCATGTTACCCTGATTAGAAATAAAAAGCCTCCATCTGCATTAATCACCTATACTGGAAAGTTTATCGCGCTTGAACTGCAGTTGAGGGCCACAAAAAAATTGTCAGAAGAGCCACAAATGGCTAGTTTTTCCGCGTTTTTGTTCTTCCATTTGTGTCTTTACTGTTTCTACAAACACCCAGCCGCTTTTTTTGGCAATAAGTTAATATATTCTGTTTCAAAAACCTTCCGGATGTATCATCACAAATCAGCAGGCACTGACATAGCAACTCCAGCTTGTTACCTAGCAACCCGAGCAGAGTTCCGCCCGTCGCCTAGCAACCCGAGCTGAGCTCCAGAATGTTTGGGCAGCTTGTTTTACTGCTGTAAAATATTTTTTATTTTTGGCTTCCCATCCAGAAATCACTTGCTGCATTCTTGTTGGTTGTGCAGGAGGCTCTACTACTGCTTTTCAAAGATGTATGGTTGTGTAATTACTAGCTTACCATGTCCAAACAGGCAGAACTGACCAAACTAAAATCTCGTTAACTAAGAACGATTTTGTAAAAAAAAAGAAAATGTAACTAACATGTTTTGTATAGACCATAGACTTATCCTAACCTGTTCAATGAAACATAATGGGTCACCTTTAAAGCTCCAGTCAACCATGAACATAAGATGTGTTTAATGTCTGCTTCTGGTTTCCTTTTCCAACAGATGTATCCAGATCTCAAAATCACCAACGTAGTGGAAGCCAACCAGCCTGTCCGCATTGAGAACTGGTGCAAAAAGGAGAAGAAGGTGTGCAAAGGCCACGCCCACATGGTGGTGCCTTACATGTGCTTAGGTAAGCTAGTAAACACTCCTTTAACTCAGCCCCTCTCCTCTGCTCCCCTCTGTGCTGAAAACGAAGAGCTTATGAGTCATTTCAGCCTTGGGCAGAGGTGACATTGAGTGATATTGGATTCGGTTCACTAATTCTGGCCTTTAGCTGCAGACTGAGCCGATCTGCGCTGGATGGGGAGTTAATGTCTCCCAGAACGGATGGCTGATGGGGGGAGGATTTTATTGCTGGGGAGGCTTGTTGAGCAATAAAGCACAATCTTATTTGCCCCCTCAGACAGCGGTCATAAACTCACGCTGACACACAGGGTCAGCAGCGGAGGGCTTGCTTTATTGCATCTCGTACTGCCGTTTGACTGCACTGTCACAAACGACTCCCGTCCTCCTCTGTTCCCGGCAGGATCACGGTAATCTGCAGCGGCAACATGGCCATATTCTGCTGCATGAAATGTCACATGCAGAGCAGGATGAAGGAAAAAAAAGATTGCAGCACGTTGCTTCTCCCTCCCAGGGATGAAGGAATATGAGAAATGGATTCCTGAAAACAAAGACTCTCCCTCCAGCTATAAAACGAAACATCTTTGTCTGAGAAGTGGTGTCTCCAAGAGGGGGGCCAAGGGAGGCCATGTCCCCCTTGAAAAATGTGAGATATTTATACATGCACACCTCCATTCACAAAATTAGAATATTACAGAAAAACCCATTTATTTCATGAACTTTATCACTAAGTGAAACACATTATATAGGTTAATTACACACAGATGGATGTTTGAAAGCCTTTATTTCTTTTAATTATGATGATTTTCTACTTGTGGGTAATGAAAACATGAAGTTTAAAATTACAGTATTACATTAGACCAATAAAAATGACCTTTTCTACTTCATAGAAATATGGATTTAATGAAAACTATGTTTAATAGCTAACGAGTTATAATTTTCAACAAGTATTTTAATCTAACAAACAAGCCTGATCTGAATGCATGTTCTAATTTATTGAAGAACTGTATTTCATAATCACTGCCTTAAACTGCAACTTGAAAACTGCTGTACAGCAATTATTACCAATGAAAGCTATAAAACAATCATAGAAAAAGATTATCTTTAACCATCCAATTTTCTCAGTTAATGAGAAGCCCAGTCTGTGTCTTATAGAAAAGCTTAACAGAAATGCAAAGCCTTCAGCTGCGTGTCTGACTATAATAAAAACAGGAGACGACAGACTGTCTGACCTGAGGAGGAAATGAAAGGTTCAAAATGTCACATACTTGAGGGAAGCATATGCTGTAACAGTCAGATTCACTTAGTCGCATTTACCCGTTGGCAAATATCTTTTTATCTAAAGAGGCGATAACATCAGGCAAAGGCAAAATCATGGCTTTTGTTTCCTCCCATCCAGTTTCACAAGGCCTTTCGACTTGGCTGCTACGCATTTAGAGACACTTCTCAGACCATTTAGGTTCCAGAGTTTCTTATTTAGCTTTGATCATCTCTAATAATTTGACACAGCTAGCTAAAGAAGCCACCACTAGGTAAAAAGTTAGCTAGTGATCCTAAACATTAGTTCCGCTAACATTAAAGAGCTTCACCTACATGGTATTTAGTGGAAGCTAATGCGTTAATTTTAATCATGTAGATATTAGCACAATTTCAACAAAGATGTTAAACGTTACTTAACTGAATGTTTACAAAACAGCTAAGTAAGTTAGCATGTTAGAATTTATCCATAGAAATAAATGTAGGGGACGTGAAGGGCGCCAAAAATAGCAAACAAGAGCTAATTAGCTACGTTATTAGCTTAATATCATGGAATATTCATCACTGTGCAGTAACTATGGTTTACTTTTACTTTTCATTTTGTTTCTTTAAGGAAGAAACAAAATGCAGAAGGTGACCTTGAATGATATGATATGATTGTTCTTAATTGGTATAAGATTATTGGTTTTAGAAAAATAAAATAAGCCCCACAGAATTAGCTCGGTTTAAAATTAATGCACAGTTTCAGTTCCTCCATGTTTTCTCTCCTCAAACAAAATCTGATTGATCTGATGCTCAATCAGATGTTTCTAATTGAGGAACATCTGTTAATTGTTTTTCCATTAGCAGATGATTTTAATTTGTATTTTTGAGACTTGGTTTGTCTGAGATTATCAGTTTGATTGGAACAAAACCTTTTGTGTATTGATCATCCTTTAAAGTCTAATTTCAAACAACAGAGAATGTGACTGAAATATAAAATATGTTCCTCCAGAAAACACTGTTTTATGGTAAAAATCTATCTGGTCCAAAGAAACATAAAAAGATCAATTTAAAACACAATTTGCACAGTCTGCCTTTATACATAGTACATTTATAGCACCACTACTTTTTATTCCCTTTTGTTTTATGAATTCCAGTTTGATATTGATTCTCTCACAGAAGTCTTTTGTCTTTTATTCTCCTAGTTGTTCAGACTTATCAGGGGAAAAAGGCATTTAAATAATTCTCTTTTTCTTTTGTTGAAGAAAGCTTGTGGGTTTTATAAAGAGCAGCGTCCACATTTACAAGCCATCAGAAAGGCGGAGTGACGGCGCCGATAACAGATTGGGGCTTGTTTCGGAGCGCCGCGCCTGAGGTTATTGCATTCCTCCGTCTCTTTGTAAATTTCTCTGCACCGAGCGTTAAACCCTGAATCATAATAACCTGCGCCAGACAATCATTCACAATCACAGAACAACGAGCCGGAGAGGAGGAGAAGAAAATAACAGTGTCAGTCGGGACTGGTGGGTGAAGATAAAAATGCTGAAACAGGAAAAACGAAGTTGGAAGGTGAAACCTGGAGTTTATAAGAAAATATTTCTGCTATGCAACTCTGACCTCCAGTTACCTTCGTTTTTTTTTTTTTTTCATTACTTCAAATAATCCTGGTGGCGTGATCAAATTTCTGCACAGTCTGTGATGCAATGCAAACACTGTGCAGAAAATTAGAGGAGGAAACTGAGTGTCATTATTTACTGTTTTATGGGAGGAAACGCCAATATGCTGAATTATTCTTCCAGCTGCTTTATTTGCTTCCTTCCAAAAGGAACCTCTTGTTTTGCTTCTGTTTTTTAGGTATAAAACCTTAAAGTTTGAAACAGTTTATTTGATTTTATTTTAAACAATCGTTTCTCTTTAATTGTTGTTTTGATGTTTTTTTTTAAACATTGACACAGCCTGTAAATTTAGTTGTAGTAAACATAGATGCTTACAGTATTTGCTCTGTTTCTGATTTGTGTTATTTTATCAGACTTCAACGTTTCAGATCATAAAACAAACATAAATGTCAAACAAGGAAAACCTCAGTTTAGTTTTCAGGCTAAGCTAACTAAACAGACCTTATCTACTTCAAGGTCAGATAACTTGGTGTACTTCAAATAAGACAAAACTAACTTAAAAGTAATTTATCAGAAGTAATTATGCTTGTTTTTAGTCAATAATTTCTTAATATTAATGAAAATGTTTGTTCCAGTGACAGATTGTTTAACTTTACTGGGTAAAATGTCTTGTTATAAGTTAAATAACCTGGCAGTGCGCTGTGTGGTTGGTCGCCTCATCTTCAGAAATCCTGAATCAGGTCTGGCCATGTTGGTCATGTTATGTCTGCAACCTAAAATCCGGACCGCAGCGGGCTGGTAGTGCTCCAACTGGGTTACTTTAAAGCTCTTGGCTTCGCTGCTCTTCGTGTCCTGACGCTGTTCTGGCCTTAATCAGAAGGATTTCAACCAGCAGCTGCAGTAACCTGCGCTCTCCTGGCTGAAAAATACATCGTATCCATATTAGAAAGGGTTTTATGCAGCGGGCTGAGGGGAACTGCGCACACCTCCAAATTGCACCAGGGCGGGAATGTGCTGGTTGCTGGGAGACGGAAGGATGCTGTTTTATTTAAAAGGGAAATATGATGTAAAATTCACATTTTGCACAACTTGGTTCTTCCATTTGGGTTTCTTCTGCTTCTTAGAACAGCGCAAAAAAACTTATCCAACCGTTTCTTGGCGATAAGCTGTTTTGGGGGGGTCTGGAAAATGAACCATTTCAAAATCCTCCAGATTGTTGAGTCGTTAATAGCAACCCAAGCGGAGCTCCAGCACATTTGGTCAGGTGGTTTTACCTTTCCAGCAGCCCTGTACAATGGCTGCTGGAAAAGACAAGTATTTTGCTGTCATCTTATCATCTGGAAACCACTTGTTCCATTCTTGTTGATTGTGAAGGAAGCTCTACTTCTGCTTTTCACATATGTACTGTTGTGTAATTGCACATCTGTTTGCAGCCATTTTAAATTGCTTGTGTGAACGTTGATGACCCGTTATGCTCCCTTGATCCAGTTAGAATAGGTTTGCTAGTTATACAGACATGTTCATAAAATCATTCTTACAATGAGATTTTCAGTCTGCTCAGTTCTGCCAACTTTGAGCTGTTTTGGGACGTCCTGTCACCTTAAATCCAAATGTGCTGCTGCTGGCTCTGCCCCTAATTTGTACGTGAAAATGGCTGCCAACAGATGCGTAATTTTACAACTGTACATCAACCAACCAACAAGATTGTAGAAAATAGTTTTCTTGAAAGAAAGCCAACAATAAAATCTCTTCTTTTCCAGGAGCCATTGTGCTTTTTACGCTTACTTAAGTAATTTTATTATGAAGTATTTCTACTCTTACTTGAATAAAATTTCTGGATTCTCTGCCCACTAAATGAAAAGCAGAAGTGGAGCCTCCTGCACAACCAACAAGAATGTAGCATGGTAAGTCAACAATAAAACATTTGTCCTTTCCAGCAGCCATTGCGCAGCAGTAAAACCAGCTGACCAAAAGTGCTGGAGTTAAACTTGGGTTGCTAGGTAACAGCTGAAGTTCTGCTGGGGTTGCTAGGTAACCGTGCAGTGCCTGTGGAATGTGACTTAACCACTGGGAGGTTTTTGAAACCGGTCATTTTCCAGACGCCAAGGCACATTAACTAATTTCCATAAAACAACTGGGTGTTTTTTTTTCTTTTTTTTAGAAGCAGTAGAGACAAAATTGGAAAAAAAAAATGTGTAAAATGTGAATTTTTCATAATAGGTTCCCTTTCAGCAGTGAAGCGACCTGTTGTGCGGCCGACTCCAGGTCTAAATGTTTTCTGTAACTGTACCTCCCAGACGGAGAGCAGAAGCAGCTGCTGAGTCCTCTGCTATTTCCAGCGCTCTCCTCTTCCTTTCCTACCCTCTCATTTTCCAAAACACTGCTTTTCCCGGCCGCTCCTTACCTCCAGCGGTGTTCCCGCCGTCCGAGGTTATGGCGAGCTGCTAAATGAGCCGGATCCCAGCCAACTCCGCCAACACTCTGCCATTTTCTCCTCCGTCACAATGCCAGCCAGGCGTTTAATCTTCATCAGGACCCCCGACTCCACATTTAGATCTGCACGGATTTCAGCCTGAAACTATTCATAGAGTCACAAGATGCCTTTCAAGCCATTTATTTCCTCTGGATCCAACTTCCTGCTCCATGAATAAAACATGGCTGAATATAAATCATCAAGCAAATGATATCATTGAGACGCAGGAAGAGTTTACAAGTGTGAAACCGATTTTCTCCTTTGCAGCTAAGCAGATCGGATAATCCCTTTTTTTTTTAGTTTAGGGGTTCACACAGGTGCAGATGTCAAAGGCCGCCTTTTTATTCCCCCATAGAGAAAATTAAAGGACGAGGCAGCTATGAATTATTGAATATCCTCATCTCATCTTCCTTTTTTAACTCCAGTCGGCTGATTTATTGCCTCCAGCCCGGCCGTGTTTCAGAGGAATGGCTTTTCCTGGACAGATCAGTGCTGCGACTAACGGCCATCTTTCTCTTTCAGTGGGCGAGTTTGTGAGCGACGTCCTGCTGGTTCCAGAGAAGTGCAAGTTCTTCCACAAGGAGCGGATGGACCTGTGCATCAGCCACCAGCAGTGGCACGCCGTGGCCAAGGAGGTGAGGTCGGATCCGCTCCGCAGGATTACCGCCGCCGTCGTTACAGATTCCCTGGTCACGCTTTGCTTAGAGGAGACGTTTATACCTTTTCTAACTGACACGCTTTCTGAGAGTCTTAATAAAACGACTTGGTCAAAAATTCAGCAGGATTACGCAATTAAATCCCTTCTAAGCATCTTCCAACGTTTGAGCTGAATTCTTCTCTCCGTTTAATATTTAGGAAGTTTTATAAGAATCAGCAGTGAAGTTTTCTGACTGATCTTTAAAAAGATTCTGATTCTTTTATGTCTGAAATGTGGCTCAAAATACCAAGAAAGTCACTGAGTTGGTCAAAGTAGAGTGAGTATTGTCCCCAAAAATTTTACTCAAGTAAGAGCATCACTACTTCAACTCATTTTTACTTGAGTAAAAGTAAAACGTATCCGTCCATGAAATTACTCAAGAGTAAAAAAGTACTTGATAAACAGTTTACTGAAGTTCTGAGTAACTGATCAAATTTAATATTATATAAAATGTAAAATTAAATGGAAATTTTGGTATTTTCCAAAATAGTTTCTTTCAGTAATTAACTAAATTACATTTACTAGAGTAACTACTTTGAGGAAAAACAAAAAACTTTTAGGAACATTTTTACTACGCTGTACTTTGAGTAATTTTATTATGAAGTATTTTTACTCTTATTTGAGTAAATTTTCTGGATTTTCTACCCACTGAATATAAAACAAACATGTTTGAACCAAAAATTCACCAAATACAGAGACACACCTGCAGTTTCTGTTAAAGTTTTGTCAGTTTTTTATTGCAAGAAACTGAATTGGAAACATTTTCCTTTGTCTCATTTTGTTATTTTTTGTTACTTATCTAAATTATTGACATTTTGGTTCTTAAAACATCAAAATCTCCACTTAACTTTATATTTTGACTATGTAATTTTTAAATCTTAAATGATCGATACTCAGTACTTGAGAAGACTTTTTACCAAATACTTTTTCTTGAGTACAATTTGTAGCTACTCTGCTCTCCTCTTGCGTTAGAAACTAAACTAAAATTACTTTGTAAGACTTTGTGAGGGTTTTTTTCATGAAGAATATTCCAAATGTTTGATATTAAACCCAGAAAATCCTTAAAAACATCCATAATACAGTTATTTAAAAAAATATTCCCTCCTCTCTGAGTGTGTGATCAGGCGTCCTCACATTTCAGCCTATAATCAGATTAGCGCTGCGGCTGCTAATCCCCCTCAGGAGGCTGCAGAGTTAGTTTGACCGTAACTGAAGCTCTCCTCAAATATTTCCTCACCTTCTAGATTTTCTTTTTCCTTCAGCGCTGTGGACGTTTAATGCAAACTGTCAGTCGATTTGAAACATTTCCAGTAGAGAAAATGAGAGGAACGACTTGGAAAACAAAGGATGTTGTTTCTCAAGCTGCTGCTGAGATGTTAAGCGGGGCGGCTAATCCGTCTCTGCGCCGGTGGAGTTTCAAGCCGAGTTCGTATCCGATACCTTCCAGCTGCTGCAGGGGGGAAGTGTTTGGGAGAAGCAGGTCACCTGCAGGACAGCGTGACTTTGGGAAGATGTGGAGCGCCTCGCTCAAACTCGGACTCAAAACTTTACCGCAGTACAACCACAGACTTTAAAGTATTTCACTGGGATTTCCAATGAAATACCAACAGAAATTAGTTTTTAAGTGTGAGCTAAAGACGCACAGATTCACGTATTGTGCTTCTGATATCTGAATTGACTTGAAACATTAAAATGTAAATCTACTGAATTACAAACTTATTTGATAACTTATTTGATAACTCTGCCCCAATATAGCTCACTTAAATGCATCAATATCTTCATTTGCTTGATAAAACATGTAAAAACAACTTAAATGTTTTCCAGTTAGTTAGTTAATCAGGATTAAAACGGCCAATTTAAAATAACTGAAACTGACAAAAACAACAGGATGGCTACTTTAAGAAAATAAACTGCAACAAACCTTTGAAATGGCTCAGAAAGTGAAATTAGAAATAATCAAACATAGAATTAGACTGAATAGATCTGCCGGATATCTGATCTGGACTCTTTTGTCAAACCCATTTTTTTCAGAAATTAGTTGTTTTCCAGAGAACAAGCAGACGGGTAACGGATAAAACTGTAGGGAATTTTAAAGCATGTTTACTATAAAAAGAAAAAACAATATTCCTGTTCAGTCCAGAAGTGGGAAAAAGAGCATTTATTATAGACTTATCCAGAAGGTCAGCGGCTGTGTTGGGCCAACAGCCGATTAGCAGTACTGATTTCTCACTTTGCGTTTTTGCTAGTTTTGACAACATTTAGCTTACTTAGAGTTCCCTAAATTGATTTAAATATAAACAGATTATTTTAAGAAGAACTGGAGAGTTTCTCCTCATCTATTTTTGAGTTTTTGCTGGTTTTTTGTTTGACAATTCATCAACTTGCATGGAAATTACAACCAAAAACGTCAACATTTAGACTCTCAGTGTTTAAAATTGCTTAGCGCTCTTAGCTTCCCCTAGCTAAGTTATAAAGCTGCTACTTCTCCAACACGTGGTCGTTTTATAAACTTTCAGTTAAATAAAGTTCAACATTTGTGCTGAAGTTTTGTTTTTTGACTGTTGAGAATTCTTCAAGTATCCATATACAATCAATAAGAGCATGACCATATGCATTTAAGGCCATGCTCTTATTTTGAAGTGAGTGAGGACTGCAGTTCTGTTTCCTGTCTGCACTTCTCTGTTTTCTTTTTTCCACCCAATGACGTTATTTCATTGGCTTTATAAAAGATGATGTCAAAATTAAACTGGTATCAGAGGGTTCTTTTTCTTTCAAGGACAGATATAATTTGAATTGGCGCTTTAGCATTAGCTTCAATTAAAAACTATGTTTGTTTAGCACTTTAGCGTTAGCAAAGCTAATGTTTATGATTAGTGTGTTGGGGTTAGCGCAGCAGCTTTTTAGGCAGCGGTGCTCCCCTGTGGGCAGTGGTACTCGGGTGGGAGAATCCGCTGACGGGAAGCTGTTTGGTGTGACCCGCTCAGGCCTGCTCCAGGAGCTCCATGATGCTCCACAGCTACGGCATGCTGCTGCCCTGCGACATCGACAAGTTCCACGGCACAGAGTATGTGTGCTGCCCCGCCTCCCGCTTCGCAGAGTCCCCCCCGCCGTCCCTGCCCTCCCAGGAGGAAGACGATGATGACGAAGACGAGCATGTGGAGAATGAGGACGTCGCCCTGGGTGACGATGAGCCTCTGGAGGAAAGGTGAGCAGACCTTTGAAACTTCACGCAACAAGAGAAACCTTCTGATTGCATTGTGTAAGTTTAGTCTATTTCTTAGTGCTTTCTCACCCGATAGTTCGGTAGATTCGGTTTCATTACAGAGCAAAATTATAAAATTTGTTACATTTTCAGCTGCTGCAACCCAAACCCTTTGAAAAATCTGTTCCCCTCCTCACCTGTGGGGGCGCTGCACTTATAACCACTGAAGGAAACAACATGGAAACTTCTGAAGAAGACACTGAGCGGCATCGGATTTGAGCAGTTTTAGGATTTCTCTTTTGTCTTTGGTAAAAGACAACAAGCCATTTCTCCTGCTAGTGTTACACTCATGCATTTGTTTTGGTAGTATTTACCCACAATGCCCTGCGCTGCAGTCCACTTCCTGTTTGGTTTTTCCACATACGTTCAAATTGCACTGGAGTTCACTTAAACCAAACAAAGTTTGAGGTTTGTAGGTG